ATTGAGCAACACAAAAAGATCCAACTCAGACCATAAGCCCCTCTTGCAAGATAAGAAGCTGAATAAATGTTTCAAAAGAAACATAGAACATGATCTGATACATTCTTCCAAAATTGTTCACTAATACACTTGTTAAAATTCTGACACATACAGGTCAGTAATTCTACTTGGGTTTGATGACCAACAGAAAATGAATAGAAAACAAAACAGCATGAATAATCCTCCATGTATTATCTTTCTAGAACTGAAGGAAGTGAATGAAATTTGTTGGGATACAGAGACCTAGATTAGAATTCTTTCTTGACCACAGTACAATGCCTCCTAAGAACTTATAAATCAGCTATTTACACAAATGGCTGCATTTAAGTCAAAGCAGTCAGGAATTTCACAGGATTACTGGTAAATGCTGGTTTTGTGGACATCAAACTTCACAGCCAAGTTTAAGAATTGTTAGTGTCTACAACGGTGCAGCTCACTTCAAACACCTAACTTGGGGGAAGAAACTGGTATTTGTGTTTGATTAGGTCTTTTTTCTAAATAAATTTGTATACAGCATCAAATAAAGCTCTTTTACACTCTAAATATTGTTGCAGTATGGTGATGCAAGTAATTGCTTTTAGTTATGTGTTTAAGGCCAAAAAATAAAGAATTATCTAACTAAAACAGTAATCACTTACTACTGACACAACAAATTAATACAAGTCACATGGAGAAGTCATGCAGCCAGTTAACAGAGAAGCATTTCTTTATACAATTTAAATGATTGTTAGGTTAAAAAATTACAATTCACACCTAACTGCAGACAGGAGCACATTAGGAAAGTGCAGTGGAATAAAGAAAATAAAAGTTCTGAGTCTGATACTCCTTTTTAAAAGGCAGCACCTCCAGCTGGGGCATGAATTCAGCACTGATTCAGGACACAAGAACTCTATCTACTAAATCAACAACAAAACTTCTTGCAACAGTCCAGGTTTCACTTGGAAATCTTGCTGAAATGCCAGCCAAGCTCAGCCTTGATTAGACTGCAATGAGATCATAGCTTGAGGAGGTATAGCTGTAGGCTCTTGTAAAGCTGATACTAAAGAGAAATTCATTTAAATGATACATCAATCTTTCTTGAAATGCATGGACTAGAATGTTCTCATATTTATTAATGTAATATGGATAAAGCTGACTGCAGAACAACTTCAGAGTTCTTAAGGATATTGTTAGCACGGGAAGAGGAACGACTTTCTACCCACCACCCACAATCAATAGTATGATTGACACTGCAAGTTGGGCATCTCAGATAAGAGCACTTTTAAAGTAAAAGTAATCAAGATAATGCAGCTATTGGAGATTTTCTAGAGATTCACTCTTGAGCGCTCTGCCTTTCATTTTCATTATTTCCAATAAGACCTCCCTCTTCAGATGTTGTTTCTCTAAAAAAGAGGAAAATACAAGCTGAGGCTCCTGAGACTTCTAATTATTGTCCTCTAAGTTCTCATTTCACCTTTTGTTGAAATATGCATGCTGCCATAAAAAGCAAGTCCTTTCTTTTAAGATGTCAAATTAGGCAAGAACAAGCTGCCTTTGGGCAATTTTTTGGAATGTTATCACACACACATGCAGAGATCAGAAAAAATGTAAAGCATTTTTTTAAAGGGACATTAAAAAATAGTGGTATGCAACACAGTGACAATGCTAAAAGACTTTTTTCTTAAATATTAGCAACACCATTTGCACTTGGGTGGGGCAAGCTTTAAACGACCAGCTATGTTTAAAGATCGAGCAAGCTGTATCATGCACCATTTTTCTCTGTACCTATTGCTGCAGTAACAAAAAGGGCAAGGAAAAAAAAACTAAAAAAAGGCTTGTGCCTAGCAGGTGAACTTGATACTCTGCCTACCTGGTTCTATTTCTGGACTATTTATCCAAGTCTTGTGTCAGGTACAGGAAGAAAAGCTATTGTGAATGGGGAAAGCTGCCCACCCTGAAAGTGCCGGGCACCAGCAGTGTGACTGAGCACTGACCTCTCCGGGGCAAAGCACTTCCCTCACAGCATCAATCATGGAATGGTTTGGGCTGGAAGGGACCTTTAAAGGTCATCCAGTGCAACCCCGCTGCAATGAGCAGGGACAAAACTCCAGCAGCTGAGCACACACTTACACCCCTGGCAAGGCTGAACACATTTTCTCCTCTTCAGCTTGCCTTGCTTTCTCTGATTATTGGCAGTTTGGTGGATCAAAAGACACTGTTGTTTTAATTGACTTAATTTCTAAAATATTCTCAAATAGTTGCTGCCAGTGTTTGGCCTAGACTCTCCCCATGATAGCCGTAGTAAAAAATTTCCCTTCCTATCAGCAAGTGAAATAGCCACACCAGAGAAATGGAGAAGCTTATTACAGAGAAAGTGCTGAACACCATGTATTTACTCATTAATTTTTCAATCACAGTATTTTTTGGTGCTACTTCTCTGGCAGTTGTGCCATATATGCTAAATAAAGTGGCAAATATTTACAAACACGGACTTCCCAGCATTTACATAAAGGTGCAACTTTCTTCAAAGGCTGATCTTGCTTTTGAGACTGTAAAAGCGCAGAGACAAGCAGAATTTTGGAAATCCCCCTTAAGCAGCTGCTATCTGAGACTCCATTCACACCTTGTCACATTCCTCGAAGAGCTGGCAGCTGTCGTCATCCACCCTCACTTCCCCAGAGATGCTCTGGACTGGAGTGAGACAGAGCTTTATGGCCAGCTAAGGCTTACACACAGATTCAATCCACAAACCCAGGTTTTCCACAGCCATCCTGAAGGATTTAGTCCACTGGGTTTTCCTGGGTCTCCCACTGACCAGCCATCAGTCCCCTGAGAAGGAAGGACACGTGCCACAGAGAGAAGCGCTGGTGAAATGGCATCTCCTCATCCTGGCAGCCCAATGATCCTCACTCAGGAACAGGGTAACAAGGTCAGAGCTCTCTTCAGCTGAGAGGAGAGAAACCTTACATCTCCGGCAAGGAGGGGCTGCTTTAACCACTCTCTTTTAAATTATTCTTCCCACCACTAGAAGCAGTACAGTAAAAACCAAAACACCATGATGGGTGGGCCAAATTAAGATGGAAAATTTTGCAGATAAAAAAATCGTAGTCCTGGGCACACAAGTTTCAGTCCCTGGTTTCAAAACTATTTCTATACCACTGTATCCAAGGGCAAACAGAAATATATTCCAAAATTTAATCCTAGGTCTGTACAGATGGACCCAGATTGCTCTTCCACACAGAGGCACAGCTGTGTGGTTCCTTAATTATTCCCTTGCAACAGACCCAGTTTAAAAGGTTCCCAGGCACACTCACTTCTCTCCACATACCACAGCCACATCCTCATGCCACAAATACTTATGCCTGTTACTTAATGCCTAGGTAACATTATGAATAAGCATCACTGATCAGTCTTTAGATGTAGCATTTATTAGCCATTAGCAGAAAGGTGGAATTATTTGAATTGGAACTTAATAGCTGGTGCACACATAGAAAAATAGCTCTGTTCTCCTTCTCTCAAATGCTCCCAGCTTTGCTGTTCCCTAATTCAGGACAGTGGTAAGCAGCCAACACTCTTGCAGTCATTTTTCAGCCTATACATCTGACACTGACTGTTGTTCCCTGAAAAACAGCACTAGGGAAGTGATCTAGAAACAGATGGTTTGAAAAGTTCTCACTGGGAAAGTTCATAACACAGTTGTTTCAAGGGTGGGAGAAGGGAACCAACTAGAAAACTCACAACAAAACCAGATGAAAAATAAGATTAGTAAAATTTCTGTTGCAGATAAACCAGGACTTGTTGACCTCTGACACTCTCTGGCACTTTCAAAATGGGAACAGGCAGAGTCCGGAGGACTTGGAGACAAAAGTATATATATATAACTTTCTGACAGATCTTGAGCAAAATGTGCTTTGCTAATGTGACTTTTTTTTTTCACTACAACATATGGATATATTTTCATGTGCTTTCACTGTGCAACATGAAAGCTGTCTTAACTGCAAAAACCAACAATTACTGAGAATGGGGGCTCTTAAGTCAAAACACATCCAGATGAAAAAAATATTCTAAAAAACGTGAAGCATTTCTTTAACTTGTGTCCAGTACACTGAGAGTAAAGCTATAAAGGACAAGGAAAAAAAAAGAAAAAAAACCCAATAAAAAAACACAAAAGAGAAAAAAAGAAGGCAACCAGATAGTGCATATATACCCAAGCATGTTCCTCTACTCGGCTTCGGTGCATGGATTTGATCTTTGTCCACAAGACCTTTTTGTTTAAAGAAGAAGGGACAAACAAAGGCTATCCTAATTACTTAGAATTTGCAAGTGCAACGGCAGCGGATAGAACAGCCTCGGAGCCGCGAGTTTCAGTCTCCATGCCCTCTGCGCCAGGAGCCCGGAGGGGAGGAGGGAGGGACCAGCCCAGCAGAGGGTTTCGGGTCCCCTAGCCAGTTACCAGCGCCAAAACGACGGCGCCAGCTCTTTACCGGGGCGTACGAGCGGAGCCGCCACGCTGCCTGCGCCCAGCAACCTGTTGCCCCCAGAGCTGCGGGGATGAGCCCGTACGCTCCGGTACCGCTCCCCGGGCGCTGGCGGCGGCCGTGGGCCCCGGAGCGCTCCGGGCCCGGCGGCACCTGCGCTGGGCGCGCTGCCCCGCGGTACCTGCGCCCCGGGCTGCGGGCGGGCGGCGCGGCCGGGCTGTCACCGCCGCGGGCACGGCAAAATGGAGCCGGCCGGACCCATCTCCCCCCGCCCCGGCGCCGCTCACCTTGGTGATGATGAGGGGCTCCCCGTGCTCCCGTCCGCCCTTCACCGTGAAGCCCCAGGGAGCCCCGCCGGTCAGCTGCACCTCCACCAGCTTGTAGCCCTCAGCTGCCCGCTGCTCCACCATCACCATGACGGGCCCCGGTTCCACCAGCCCGCCGCCGAGCCGAGGGTCGCCGACGGCCAGCCGCTCCCGTCCGCCCCGCAGCCCCACGTCCTCCATGGAGCGCCCGTCGCCGCCGGGGCTGGCTCGCCTCTCCCGGCCGCTCCCCGGTGCGCGCCAGCCGGCGGCCGCCCGCGGAGCCACCTACCCGCCCCGCAGCGCCGGCCGGCCCGGCCCCATCGGCGGCGAGAGAGGGCTGCTCCGCCCGCCCCCTCCCCTTCCTCCTCCCCCGCAGCCCGCGGTATTGTCTCACGCCGAGGCCGGAGCCCGGCGGCGGGGGGGCGGCACCAACTTGTGGCAACTTGGCGGCGGGGCAAAAGCCGCCGAGCAACGCGGGGTGCTGGGAGGAGCGCGACGGGGAGAGGCGCCCCCGCCTCCCCTTCGCCTCGGAAAGAGGACGAAAGCCGCGTTTCACCAGCGGGGCAGCCGCTCGCCCCTCCCAGAGAGCGGCAGCCCCGCAGCGCGATCCCCCAGCCGAGGAGGAGGAGGGGGGAGAGGGGAGCAGCCCCGGGCCGGCCGCCAGACAAAGGCGGCGGCGAGAAGGTCCGTGAGCCCCGAGTCACCCTGGGGCCGGGGCCGTACCCAGGTCACCCCCCCACAGCAGAGACGGCCGCGCCTCCCCTCCGCCCCCGTTCCCAAACAAAAGCGGCGAGCAGGTGGAGGGTGGGGTGAAAGGGCAGCCGGCGGCTGCGGCCGCCCCCCGGGCAGGAACGCCCCGCCTCCGCCGTGCCAGGCGGCGGGGGGCCGGGGCTGGGAGCGCAGAGGGGGCCGGCTCTTGCCGGCTTTTCCCGTCTCGCCGCGGTGTTTGGGGAGGGGAGGCCGGGCAATGCGGGGGGCAGTCAGGGGGCAGCCGCAGCGGGAGCCGAAGGAAGGAGGAGCTTTCCGCCGGCCCCTCCCGGCCCGCGCTGCCTCCACCACCTGTGGGGCGGGAGGGGCCGCGGGCTCCGGGCCGCGCTCTCCCGGCCGGCCCCTCTAGCGGCAGCCCCGCGGCACCGCCCGGCCCGGCCCGGCCCGGCCCCTCCCGCCGCCACAACGGACGGGCCGGGCAGCGGCAGGAACCGGCGGGAAACGCAGGTGAAGCTTTCAGCAAAGAAATCCAATGGAGAAGAGATGTGGAGTCCTAGATTTTTAAAAAAGTTTGATGGCAGAGTGCGAGGCAGGACTAGAAGTGCTAATCTGAAGGCAAATCTTGAATGGGAAATAAATGCAGGGTTTGGGTTTGCCTGATGCCTTCACTGAGTTAGTGCTGAGGCTGGGAGTGAAATGCTTATTTTTTTGCAATTCTCCCGGTTTAATTGAATCACTTTATAGGAGGTTTCAGTGCCTTAAATCAGGACCAGGGCTGGCCTGGAGTACCAGTGTGCTAACACACAATCCTCCTTGGCATTTCACTGCCAAACAGGCAAACTACTGCTTGATCTAAGACAGAGGGAAATCTCTATTTTCATTTGTGAAAGACCAGTGAACCTCAAGGTACTTTTTCATGTGGCAAGCTGTCTCATGGAGGTGCCTGGTTATATGCAGTGGGATTTTACACTTTTGTATGATGATGTAACAGGTCACATATTTTGCTGTCTGAAAGTGAATCTTGGGGCATTCTGATTATGTGGTTTGTTCCTCTAACTCCTGTTTCAGTTGGTTTATTTCTCATAAAACTCTCCTGCCTCAAACAAAACCTTTATTTTTATTTCTTTTTTTTTTTTCCCTACAGTACTTCTAGGATTAGCTACAGGATGTTTCTTCAATACCTAAAGAAAACTTTGGGTTCAGAACACCTGAACACCTGAGGTGTCAATCCCAGCAGCAGATTGGAGAACATCTAGAAAAAAGAAAAATATATGGTTAGGATGATTGTTGTTCACTTGTGATTAAGGGACAGAAGGAATAGTGGAGAGGGTACTCAAACTCATGCATTCTTTTATGAGAATCCTGCAAAATACAAACCTTATACCAAACCTAGGTATTGCATCAAGTTATTTAAGGTCTCTAATGACTCATAGATCCTCAGTCAGATTTTTTCTGCAATTATTTTCTGTCATATAGGTAAGCAGAAATTCAAGTAGTTTTCCCCATGTCCTGTCTCCAATTCTTGGAATCTGAAACAAAGTCTTCATTTAATGTTTGTGTAACACATATCAAGTTGTCTTCACAGCAATGTGTACTCAGTAACATATAGCTGGAAGTTTTAAGGAGCTGCAGTATGCAATTTATTTTCTGTAAGTGTGATAATGAAAGGAAGATACACTAAAGTTTAAATAATTATTCTGTATCCCCAAGTAAGCACATTGAAATGAAAATTAAATAGCTCACATTACTAATGAAAAGAGCAAATACTGCTACCAAAAAAAGTCTTCTCTGTTTATATCCCCCCTTTTTCAACTGCCAAACATTAGTTCTTCATCTTGAACATTTTTTTGTCTATAGAAGTTCAAGATTTACATTACTGGTTTTTAGAATAGGTCTTAAAAATTCAGTATTACATGTTCTGGCTTTTAGAATAGGTCTTAAAAATTCAGTATTGAAGCATGATGAGGAAATCTGAGCACAGATTTTAAAACTGGGAAATCTAGAACCAGGAACTGGCAGCTATTGAAAACTGCTACTGTAATTACATCAGTGGAAGATGTGGACATGTAGCTCTTGGGAAAGCAGTTGCCTAAAGGAGGCATTTTGTTCTACAGAATTTATTCAACCTCCATTCATTTTGTTGCACATAGTAAACAAAGGATTTATTGAATGGATTCTAAAATATTACTTTTCCTTTGTGTGATAAGAGAACCAATGATAACTGTATTTGTCTAACAAAAGCCTCAGTGACCAAATCCTCAGCTTTTTCTCTTGTCAATATTTTCTGAGCACACAGAAGTTACCAATAGAAGGTAGAAATGCAGGATACATCAGGGTGCCATAAATATATCAAAGGAAGTAACAGACCACTTTTTCACACTGAGGACGGAGAATGATGCAGCTATTACCAGCAAGGTATGAAAGGGATCCTTTAGTGTAAAAATGTGTGCCAAAGATACATGTATCAAAGATGCTTCACTGTGATACACAAAAGTTACCCAAGAGCCTTCTCCTGCTGTGCAAAGGGAGCAATCACACTTGTATTAGGAGATGGTTCCCAATCCCCAGATTGTGTGTCTCTGCCCTGTGAAACAAAAGCTTTCTGCAGTAAACCAGTCTCCTCCCGTAGTGCTTCATGTCATCCTGCTTTAGTACTTGAAGCTTAATTAACTATTTCAAGTGAAATTTTGTTCTACAGAATTTATTCAACCTCCATTCTGTCTGTTGCAAGTATTAAAACTCTCTGTTCCCTACTTAGTCACTGAGATTATGAAAACTGTGAATAAATTACTTTATGGCAGTATTTTATTTGAACAGGCACAGGATGATGTTAAAGCACAGCCTGTTTCACCTTTGTGGCTGTACAAAACCTATCTTTTCCTTAAGGCACAGCACCTTGCAGTGAATTGCAGAGGATACCTGCAGGGTGGCTCTAGAATAGGCTGCTTTACTTTCAGACCTGAGGCCATTCATTGTGCTGGACATTGCAATTTCAGGAGGGTTTGGTTTTTTTTCCTCAGAAGCCAAGAAATTTGAGCGATGTAGAGGCTCCTGACTCATAGTTAGAGAGTAAAGAACTGAGATGAGGTAAGGCTTTACAACCTCCCACTTTGGCACCAGCTCTTCCGGAGCTAACCACCAAACATCAACAGGCTGGTGAAGAGACAAAGTGCCTCTGCCTCGGCCATACAAAATCAAAGGCTCATGCCCTGCAGCATGCATAGTGCATTGACAATTTAAGTTCAGATGCCAAAAGAGAAAAGCTGATCCATGGTACATATTCTGAGAGAAATACAGGATCATGGAATGGTAAGAAGGGTTCAAAGGGACCTTAAAAGATTATTTAATCCAATGTCCTGTGGGAAGGGACTTTTTTCACTAGATCAAGTTGCTTAATGCCCCATCTAACCCAGCCTTGAACACTTCCAATGATGGTGCATCCACAGCTTCTCTGGGCAGCCTGTTCCAGTGCCTCACCATCCTCACTGTAAATGATTTCTTTGTAATATCTACTACCTCTTCCTTGCCTGTCCCTTCTGAGTTTACAACCACTGATGGCAGCCCTCCAGTCATGCAATTCATATTCACCACATTTCAGTAATAGTGATTAGACTGTAACTCTCTAGTTGCACTGGCTTGCAGCTCTTTCCTCTTTCCAGCTCTAATGTCTTTGAAAATTATCATCACAAAGACCAAAACAACTGAAATAGTGATAAGAAGTTCCTGCAACAGAAGTGGATGGATTTTTTGATCAAGCAGTTCAAGGTTTGTCAAGCTGCTGGCAGTCTGTTGTGGAGTCTGAAAGTCCTGAGAACCTGGAGAAACAGGTTGAGTAGCAGCCCGACAGACAGACATGCTGGCATATCTGGGAACCAGGAGGCTTTCCTTTGGAAACCTGCCATGCTGCTTCTGATGGATTCAGCATAATCATGCTCTTCTGCAAAACACTTTGATTCCAACAAATTACCCATTTTCCCAGAATGAAAAATACCATGTTGTTAAGTTCCAGCAGGATGTCTCTGATTTAGGCACCTTAAAAACCTTTCCCAAGTGTGTCTTGTTTCTCCTGTATTGCAAGTAAGGCTTCATCAGCACATAATTAGTGCTGGAGCAAACCTTAGAAGTTCTCAACCTTTCAGATATATATAACTCAAATACTTGATGAACTCTTTATTTCTTTACAATTAAAATAAAATCTGTGTTCTTTATCTAAAGCTTTCTATAAAGGTGAAATTCATGCAAGAATACCAGTTCAGATGATGCTCAGATATTTCTGTCTCCCATGATGATTTTGATTCAAACTTTGTTCAATTCTCTCTTATTCTCACAGCACATGAGCTTTGTACCTCAAAGCAATTTTCTGAGGGTGACAACATGAACTGTGGAAGAAGGCTGAGAACTGAGGCTGTGAATGGCCAAGAGAAAAAAATATTACAATTTGCTACAAATAATATTCTTGACTCAGATCTTGTGACCTATTTGACCTGTAGAGAAGAAAGGGAGATGAGTCTAACACAGACTCCTATAATCCATAGCCTGCTTAAGGACTTAGAATTTTCACAACTCTGCATGATAAAAAGATTGATAATCAAAGAAAAGGGCAACTCCTCATTTGGTTGCAGAGTCAGAAGATAGCATACAGCTAGCAAGAGGAGGTGAATAGGTAACCAGTTTTCCCTGGAGATGTAGTTTTCAGCTTGTAGTCAAGTTCAGGCACATGTTAAGTCCTGCCTTGGGCCACATTCCCTCTGGTATCAGTGCATTTGTTCCCTTTCCAGTTCCTACATTATTGCCCTTAATCAAATCATATTACATCGCAGAGTTCCACTTTACAGAGAAACCAAAGAGCAGAGTGAGAGCACAGAGGCTGAAATACTGGTACGTGACAGTCCTTACTGTTTCATTGTCAGCAGGCTGACTAGGCAGCACTTGGACACGGTTTGGGGGATGATGTGGGCCAGGGACCATTGCTGTGAGGCCCTAAGGATGCCATGCTTTTTTATTTGTGGAAGAGAGTCCAGCAGCATATGCATATATACTGCATTTGATCATATGTATGTGCATTACAGCTTCATTAACCTGGGAAATTTTTTTTGCTTCATGAAGTTTCATCATTTCAGTGAAGCATCATTTGTAATATTTATTCTTGCTACCAAGTTTCTGATCATTGTACATTAGGGAGTGCTTTTCATGGTCCATCTTCTTTGATAACACGTGTTACATGATAACATTCTCTGTACAAACTGTACTGTGCCGCATCCTCTCATGTACCATAAAACACTGACCCATTTTAAATATGTGAGGGATAGTCTCAGAGGCTAACAAGAGTCTTTAATGCATTTAAACTCTGATATCACAGCATGTTATATCTGAATTCTGTACTTGCTGAAGATGGTCAGTGGAGCCAAG